GAGAGTGAGTTAAAACACATGGAGGTGCTGAACTGTGGCAGTGGGGTGGATGCCCTCTGTGCTGGGAGGGCACAGATTCCTGTTTCACGCATTTCTCTACATGTGGCACCAGTTCATCATCATGTTGTATTATATTAAATAGTTCATTTTAATTTAGTATCAAAACAGGAAAAGATAAATCAGAAACATCAACCAAAGAAAAAATATACTTTTTTTGTTGTAGTTTTCTTGTCTTCAAGGGACAGTGACCCTGCCTGTTTCAATATTAGCTCTCAGACTGTTTGCTGTGTCCCCCTCAACCCCAGCCCACTATTCTTAAACTACGGGTTATTTTAAGCTTATTGCTTTTAAATTACAGGGCATTTAAGACGTTGCAGGCATGTAGAATTAGCTTGGACAGTACTGAAGGTCATGCTATAGAGAACTAAATTATAATGACAGCTGGATAGTCTTCATGATAGTCCTTTTATCTAGCTAATGTATCTGATTCTGATTTTATTAAGCAGTGCTTGTTCCTTCCTACACTGGTAATGATACTCCAATACTTCAGCAGTGACATTTTAAACCTGCATTTTTTGTTAAAATTTTTGTCTTAGCAAACATCAGATTTATTACTCATCTAGTATAGTTTAAATGTATTTTACCATAAATTTTCCTTGAAATTAAACTTTTCTGTTGTTTCGTTTTGCAAATGCTGTAATAATCATTGACGTGGTGATAGATGAACAAAAACACTGGAGGCATAGTCTTTATTTGTTACATGAAGTTTGAGAGAAGATGGAATTGGACAAAGAGATGCAACTCATCCTGGTGTTGCAGCTGTTTTCAATTAATGGTGGCATTAAAGACTTCTCACATTGTAGTAGCTTGTTCAAACAAAGCTGGGCTTTATCACTGTTCCTCATGGGCTGGGAAGCACACAGGTTGGCAGTGGCTCCCTTTGGGTTTCCTGTTTTCATGTGAGCATCAGCAGTGGTGTGTTCTTGTACAAAAAACACTCTGTCCTCCTGCTATATGTAAATGGAATGATAGATATGAAACATGAAAGCAGTTGTTGTTCTTCACTCATTGCTTTTGGGGCCTTGGATAGAGTTGTGTTCACTCCCATACAGTAATCCGAACCGTGGCTCCAGGTATCATAGGCTTGCCTGTTTGGGGAAGGACTTCTAATGTTTTCCATCATAAAGCTCTTTGAGGATATTTTTATTTGTTAGTAGTTATTAATCATTTAATAGGCTGGTTTCAAAATCTAATTAATATCACAATTTTACAGTTGGATACGTCTGGAAATGGCACATGCAATTGTTCAAGAATTATTTGAAGAGTAAGGCAATTGGTATTCAAAACAATTGTTTTGTGGAGGCTGAAATCTAGATCCATTGAGAAAATCTGTAAAGAACAAACTGCAGATAGACTCCCTGCTGCTTCTCTTATGAAAAATCAAAAACAGAACAGAAAATGACAGCACATAATTATAATGAAATAGATCAATTTCTTAACAGTTCTATGGTGAAATTTTGTTATTGGCACTAATAACAATATAAACATTTCCATTCAGCTGAGGGCATGCAGTGATATTTACAATGGGGTCAAAAATGTCCCCGATGAGTTCTCAGTAAAAGGAGCATTGCTTTAAATAAAACCCATCAGGCTACTGAAGAATCTTATGTTGCTATTGTGTAGCTTATTCCTTTTTTTTCTCTTAAGGCCTATTTCTCTCTACAATGTTTTCCAGTATTAAACACTTCCACAGGACTTAAAGCTATCTTCCAAACATATTTTCTAATCTGTATTTTTAAACTGCCTTTTTAAGAACAAAAATGCACGTTACAATTTATTTACTGATTGTTCCTAAAATTCTGAGTAGGCTCTTTGAACTGAAGTAGAATAAATTCACTAAATTTTCTGCAAAATGTGCAGTGTTTAGTGAATTGCTGGCTACTAATGAATCCCATGAAAAACATACCGGAATAAAATAGGGTATTGATATGAAAAAGGAGTGTCAGTAGAATGCTGTAGCTTGATAAATCTGGTTTGAATTACCAAAAAAAGAAAAGACAATAGGCCCACTTCTGACAAGCAGAACTGCAGCTGGTCTCTGAGGGCCTGGATGGTACATGAGCCAGTGTTTTCCCATAGCAGCTCCACCACCCAGCCCTTCAGAAAGAGCTGGTGTGAAGAACTGGGAGATGTGACATCCTGGCTTCAGGAGGTGCTGGTCATAATAAAGAACACCCCATCCATTGCACTGTAAATGCCAAGTGTTGATAATTCTATATGTACACCTATTTTGAGTAGTATGGGATTCCTTCTGCTGAAGATCTTGCTGGACTGAAAACATTATGCAGGCTTTGCAGTAGAAACATTCATATGTCAGAAATTCAGCTGAACACTTTTTGGATTTCTGTGTGTCTGAACTCCATGGAGATGATGTATCCATCACAATTGTACAACTGCTGCAATTGGTAATTTTCTAATCAGATGAGGCATAAGAAAAAAAATTCCTCATTACATACCTTTAAACTATTGCATTTAACGTCATTTCATTAATGTGTGATTATCTTTTCATTCCGTAGATCATGTGATAATTTCCAAAGCTGTTTGTGTCTGAAAATGAAGTTGTGGTTGTGACATGCTTGGAACGGTCTTCCTTCAGTGACCTAAACTACTCAGCTCTGGTAAGTATTCACAACAATAAAAACTATTTATGAAGTGGTGACCAGTCTTCACAAGTTATCCAAAACAGCACCATGACGAAAAGGGTCTGTACTTTAAGCCTAATAAGTGTCAATGGCTGTGAATTTCTCTCTTTTTTGTAATAGTGAAACTGGTAGGGTAACCTCTCTCTGTACAGTGGTTGCATTTATGATTCTTGTATCCATTATAGAAAGCAAAAGGTGAAGTTGTGTTCTAGGTCTGTTGTTTTCAATTATCTTTAAGAAGGAGATAGGGAAATAGTAGCATTTTCATGTCAGAAAAGTCTTTGTTCATTTGGAGGAGATCTGAACAACACAGAGGGACCTAGAAAGTAAACACTAGTAGGAACCAGAGGAGTAGATAAAATGTGGAGAAAACTAAGAAAATTTTGGTGGTGTCTGAGAGGCATTTGAATTCTGTAAAAACTCTACATTAATAATTATACTGCTTGTTAAAAGGATTATAAATTATTAACAGCTATACATATATTACAGCCAGATAAGAGCACTGTGTGGTAAATAGTGGTGCTCATCAGGGCCAGTAGAAAGTGTTAAAATCATTTAGAACTACTGATTCTGTAAGCAATCTGTTAAACAGACCACTGGTTTGCTTTTTAGTAAGCCAGCTATTAAGAAATCATTAATCTTTTAATAACTGCTTGTGGCGTTAATGTAAAATATATCTGAGTCTTCTCATGCTGATGCAAAAATAAGATTTATTGTAGTTTGTCAGACGTTTTCTCCTTTCCCTCTCCCCAGTGTTGAGAAGGATGCTTTAACAGAGAAAAGGGATTGTTAAGTTGTTAAGTCTTGAATATTTGGCTCCTTTTGTGGCCATTATTTTATGTAGGTTTAATACTTTGTAGGCTCTGTCAATTGTCTTGCCATAATATGAAGAAAATATGTTTCTTGTTTGAGGGGAAAAAAGAAAGAAAAGAAAGAAAGTATCAGCGTATGGGTGTGTAAGCTGCGAACAGCTAAGAGCCAAAGGGCAGTAACTCAGCCAGAAATGGATATTGAGAGCAATCACCTTGGCAGTTATTTCCCTAAGGAATGGGATAACAACATTTTCAAAATACAGACACCCTATATGTGCTTCTAACCAGTTTGCATTTTCCCAACCTACCTAATTGTAAATCAAACCAAAGTTAAAAGATTAACCTGCCTTAACTCTTTTGAGCCATATGCATGTCAATATTCCTTTTCCTTTAAAAAGTATTTTCCACTGTCTTGAGTCTGCTTTTTGTTTACTGCCCAACTTCCACAGCCTCCTATGTGGTGGTGTGTCAATGAGAAAGTACCAAGCCTGGGGAAATGTGGCTGGAAATTCAGTGAAAATGAACGGTGTAGTGGAGGGCGGGGGGATGGGGGAGCTTTTTTCCAAATAAGCAGCAACCTCTGAGGGGACTCAGCATGCTCCCTGCTGGGAGTGTGGTGTTGGTACACTCTGCTTTCTGATGTCTTCAACAGAAAAATGACTGAACTCGTAAGGGAATTGGAGATTTAGAAAAGCTCAAATATCTGCTGAACTGCTGGACTTTGTGTCTGCTTTTCCTATTGATTCGCCAGTGGAGAAGGCTAGTGTAGAGAAATATGACAGTACAATGACATGAGATGAAATATTTTTTCAGTTAGGAATGACCTCGTAATTCACAAATGGCAGTATGAAGTGGTACTACAGATGAATTATATGGGGACATCTTAATGAGTAGGAGTTGTTTTTGATCAAGTTCTAGCCACTACAGAATTTCTAAGCTTGGAAGAAATGTATTTCCTATTGCAATTCACCATATGAAGACAAAATTGAGAAAGCTTGCATAGGTGGAGCTACAGGCTGCTTTAGTTGTTTATCCTTGAGGTAACAGTGCTGTTTAACAAAAGGGGTTGCATAGCACCATGGCATTCAAATGTTCAGGTGAGTTCAAGACCATGTACACTTTGTCCGTGCTCCAACTTTAGATCATGAGCTGCTCTAAAACATATATTTATTTCTTGCAGAAAAGCTTGGGGATTTAAATACATCTATATTTAATTCTGATGATTTTTTAAATTACATTTTCATAGACTTGATTAAGCCAAGCCAATAGGAGCCATATATGAAATATGTAAGGTTTTTAGCTAAATCATTGCTTAGTTGAGGTTTCACTTTTAAAGAGACTTAAAGGACTGTTTATGTACAAGTCACATGACCAGTGGACATAAAATATGAAAAATATTAGCGAGAACTTTTCTCAGATTATCTACAATGTTTTCTGCAGAGAGCTCTGTGAAGAATAGAACACTTTTTACAGTTTTGTCAGGACTCAGTAACATGGTTCTTGCAATGAGATGGATGTAAGTACCTTGAAACTGCTTATGTAAGAGAAGTAATTTCATAAAATCTGACCTTTATTACAGTTCTCTTCTTCATGGGTGACATAATGAGGTTTTGTTACCTGTGACTTTTATTAACTCACACAACTAGTCAGTTTGAATGATGCTCAAAATTTCTCCTTCAAAAGGCTGTAGGAATGCAAAGGCTAAACATGACTTTAAATATGTTACTTTCTAGCAAAATACTTCCACTGTGGAAAGGAAACATAAGGTAAGCAAAACCTGCTTAACTTGAAGCTTGTGGTGGACTCTGGTATGGATACTTCAATTCCCTCTGTGTAGACTGGAAAAACTGCAGTATTTCCACAGCAAAATTTTGCTTTTACCAGACATGTACCAAGCGATGAGGTGTAAAGGCAAACTGTTATATAAATGTAGCTTTCCCTCATATGAAGACACTGAAAGTTTTTTTAAATTATGCGATATTTTATTTGGGATTATTTACTGCCTAGAATAACTTCATGAGATGCACCCTTTCATGAAAACCTCAATGTAAAGAGTCAGAGAAGCACCAGCAATACTTAGAAAGATAAGAACTTAGAAAGAAAGATTAAACTACTTCCAGGTCTCCAGTCCTAATTCCAGGGATACCTGGAAAAGATCAGATTTTGATGTCATGTTGTTTTACATTATTGCTTTAACTAAAAAAACCTCTAAAAATAATGTGTTCAGTCAAATTATTTAAATTTGACACCTGAAATTAATGTTATAGAATCATTATTGGCAGAGGTAACATCACCAAGTCCAACCACTGGTAGGTTAGTAAAAGGTTATAGGCATTTTGGCAGTAATGGAGAATCAGGTCTTTTAGCACTTTTAGATTTGGTAATTTAAAACAAGTTGAGAGATCTCAACCTGAATAAAGTCACACAGCATATGAGAGATTCATTGGGTACTGCAAACCAGGCAGCATATGCTGGAGTGCACAGATGTGTTAATGTTGCAAGTAATACAACAAAAAGTGAGAAGGGGTCTGAATACTAATATTGATCTGGTTTTGCCCCTTTTATGTTTATTTAAAACATGTTTTCTTAGGAGTTAAACAGTTCTGAAGATGCACACCAAGTTAGGCCTGGGGAGCTAGGGGCACACTGCCAGCTGCCCTTGGCCCTTGTGGAGACCCTTCCCTGCTGGCAGCATTGTGCTGCAGTTACGCTGGCTCCTGGCACAGATGCAATGGGGCAGAAAGCAGCACTCTAAAGTGAGATGAGCTGCTGTGTTGGTTTGCGTGCTGGGCTGCTGAAATGATCAGGTGCAACTTTTCTAACTGCTGTGAGTGTGACCCTGATTGTCACTGCTTGGGAATGTGCCTTAGATTTGTGCCTTAGGTTGTCCTTTCATGGCCCTGAATAATGTTTCGTTTTACTACCTGAAGCTGATAACTAGGATATACTGACATTTATATGTCATATTTGGTCCAGATAAATGCTGGGGGGGAGGGGGAATATAGGTGTGTGGAAACGTACTTTGAATTTATGATATATGTCTACATTCTCTGAAGGGTTGAGATTATCCTGCTATAATTATGTAGCTCATCAACTGGCCACCACTCATGGTGCTTACCTTGTCCATTGCTGAATTTGAAGACCCATACATTAATTTTAACTCTGATAACAATTGGCTGTAATGTTCCCTGTTGTCACTGCAGCCGTGGAGATCAGGCCTAACGATATGCCAAAAAATCAGTGACAGTTTGCATACAGGCATGGTTTACTCAGGTCTTAGCACTGCCATTCTCAGAAGATGAGAAGGTATTGAACTGTCAAACTGAGACTGAGCAGGTGACAGCTGATGCATTTTAGATCAGCTGCCTTCATGACTGATTTAGTAAACCTAACTGAGAGCAAGCAGACTTTTTCTCCTTCAATATTATACTCTTCTAAAGAAAAATAAAAAGAAATTGAAGCTGTGAAAATGTGTATTTTTATTTTTAAACACTACCCTTTATACCTTCTTTTCGCTTTGAAACCTTTAAGTGTAAAAATTATAAGGATGGAAGGTCTGAGAGGATTTTTTTTCTATGGAATGAGTTGAGTAGAGAAGTATTCTAATCCTTTCCACAGCTATGTGGCAATTTAACATCTGACTCTTTCAGTCAATCACTCTACCTACTGTCTCCTATACATCATACAACTTCTTTAAATAGGTAATGCTCAAAATAACATAGACAAGCAACAACATGGGGAAACATATGTGATGAATGTAACAATGTATTTCCTTCTCTTCCCTGAGTTTGTTGCTTCCTAATTTGATAAAATTAATTAAAAAATAAAGGTATTTCATAGTACGGTTAGGGTTAGCCCAGGATGAAGCCATTCCATAAAACAGAGCAAGCTTCTGGCAGGCCGTGAATACAATGGTGAGACAGAACAAGTGGCATTGCCACTGCAGGTAGGTGCTCATAGAGCTGATTGCTCTACCACGAAAGAATTAAATTTTCTTGTGTGCACAGAGAGATGTTTATGGTAATTTCTGGTTGATAACACTAAAATTTGAAATGTCTAATGGGGTTTTCAAGTGGCAAATTCTTTCTTGTCCATCACCGCTTTACAGAATGTCCTTTTGGCAAAGCAACTGCATACAGAAGAGGTAGAGGAATTTTGTAGATGTCATTTTGTTGGCAGTATCCAGTTGCTCAGAGCACTTTTTGTCTCTTGTGTCTACTGGTAGGCAAAAGGACAGGATGTGGGAAGAGACCTCTTTTCTGCATCTCTTCTTTGCCCTCTTTTTGACTGAAATATTCCCCTCAGAAAAGTTCTACCATTGCTTTCTGTGGCCATGGGAATGCTCTGTTGTCTGATTTGACTAGCGGGGAATACAGTGGATAATATATACCTTGGGTTCAGAAGAAAAAGACTTTTATGTCAAGAAAATTTCTGCAGTTTTTCTTGGACGGTGAAAAATGTAAAGATGAGATGCTAATATGAAGAGTGAAGTGTATTTCTAAGCAAGTTGGTAATACATTGCATATGTTTGTTTTGTGTGTGTTATATTGTTTTTGAGAAATCATGTTTGTGTTTTTTCAATCTGTTAAGTACTGGAAAACTGGAACACTGGAGCAGTGAGTAAACTTTGTGAATATAATGGTTAGAGACGTCCAAACCCTTCTGCATTTCTTTTATTCCCCCCACAAAGCTGCAAGCTGAAAATAAAAGTATCTATGCAGAAGTCACATAAATAATGCTTTTCCTTCATCACCACTGCAGCTGGGACTGCAATATTTCTAGTGATGACTGACGTATTCTCTCACCTCTTTGTCCTCTCCTCATGAAAATGCTTAGCTGCTCCTGAGAAACGCGAGCGTCGGACAAAACGCAGAGTCCTGGGGTTTGCCTTTGGGAGCTCTGAGGGAGGAAAAAGGCCATCAAGGAGATGAACAGAGCTGTGTTGGATCAGATATGCCAGTCACTAGAAGAAAGGTGATGACCCAGGAAGGTGGCAGTGCCAAATCACTGTGTGGCTCAATCCTATATAGCACAATTCTCTAGTGGCTGTTGTTACTGTTTTCTTGGAGTATTAAAAGAAAGAGCGAGGGGCAGTGGTTGTAAAATGCTTTAGAAATTAGACTTTATATATATGTATATATATGGAGAGAATTAGCACTAAAAACAGCCTTAAAAAGGTAATAACCCCCAAAATACTTCACTATTTCCAAGTAAGTGTGTGCAGGGGGGAAGGGAAATATCTTTTAAATCTCTGTTATAGCTTCAGGTTAGAGAAATGCCTTACAGTTCTTGCTGCAGGCTCACTTCCTTATATGCTCAAAACTCACTTCAATATTTATTGAAATTTAAGGTTCTGTTATTGAATATAGTGCCACAAAACATCATTCCAGCAGAATGTTTTCTCCACAGACTCTGTGCTACACAGTCCTGCATCATCAGAAAAGAAAAAACCCTGTTTGGATTAGAGACAACAATAATGTTATCAGGATACCTGTGAATTACTTTCTATCAATTTCTGTGGTATTATTTTAACTGTGTATGTAATTTTTAGATTTTGATTCTTTGTAGGCTTCTCGTGTTTTCTTTAAATTATTCAAAATATTAATTTTTCTATTGGTAGGAAGAGTTTCTTTTCCTATCTCTAATGGGTTTATTAAAATCCATACCTGGCACTGCTGTCCCTATAAGCTACATTCTGCTTGATTATTGGTACCATTTATGTGTGAATCAGGGGGCCAGATGCTATGACCCTTCACTTAAATCAAGATGCCAGCCTGGGACTGGGCTTTTAAGCTCTGATGGCTCTTCATGATTCAACATCCCTGCCATCAGGGGAAGGAGATAAACACAGCAGTGAAATGGGCAGAGTGTGCCCTAATGAGGGTTGTTAATGAGGAAGATAGTTTAATGATGCAATAGAATTCTTTTCCTCAGTTCGCCCTTCCCTTACACACCTGTGTATGGTTTAATACACAGAAATATGCACTTAGGATCTAGTCACCTGGAGAGAAATAGTGCACACCTGGGCTATAAGTATTTTGTTTCCTAGAACAGACAGAACGAGAGGTTTATCTGGGTGTGGGGCTTGGGGACGGTCATGAATGAGTGAGGGGAGCTTCCCTTCCTGATGAATTAATGAGCATAACAGTTAGAGAGAACAGTCTGCAGGGACTGTGCTTGTGGCATCAAGAGTTCATCCTGAAAGAGAGAAAAAGAGTGATTTCAGCTTCTCTCATGTTATTTTGCTTTCTAGACAGAACCAGCAAGACAGTGCAAAATCAAAGGCACGCTGGCGGATTAGGTAACCCCACCAGCACAAACGTGTTCCCATGACAGTGCTCCCCAGCCCAAGGCATTACAGACATCGTTAGTGGTATATGGACTGCAGCCACCCCCTTGTTGTAAGGCATCTGTTTGTATAGCTCAACGAGGAAAAAGGAGAGAGAAGTTCATTGCATTTGCAGCTAGAGTGACATATTTAGATCTTGCTCTAAAATTATCAAGTCGCTTCAACCTTCTTGTATTTTACTCTATAGACTTGTAGTTTTCAACCTTTTTTTGATCTGTGAACCTCTCAACCTTTTCCACTGAAGATACAGATCTCTGTATAGTGAGTTAAAGCCCCGCTGACAATCAGCTTGAATTTTGAATGTTTTCTTTTCAAGTTATCCTTACAGATATCCCTAGATCTTGAGTGTCTGGTGGACTACCTTGTGAAAACCATTGCCCTGAGGTACCAGTCAGGTTGAGCTGAGCCTAAATCTGTTAAAAAGTTGAAGATTTTGGCTGAGAAAAAAACACTCTGTTGAGGGAAGAGAAAAATAGCAGGTTTACTCTGAAGAGTTAAATATTTTCAAAGATAATAGTATTATGTTTTTCCTTTGCAAATTTTAAGCAAGCTGAGACTTGGATGCTGATGTCTGAGTGCCAAGTAGTAAGGATGGAGCAAAGACAGAGGTAGCCGTGGAGGAGGGGTGTAAGTGATCTTGCCTCTACAAGGTAGGAGCAGGTCACAGACCCTGAAAGACTGGAAATTTTAGACTAGGTTTTAGTGTATGATCCTTTGGAAAACCAAGCAAATTTTCCATGAGGACTTAGAAGTTCATTGAAAGAAATGCATTTCAGAAATCAGTGTTTCCTGACTGGACATTCTTTTTTTTCAGTCAGGTATTCACTCTAGCTGAGGAGTAAGCTCAGATGACCCAGGTATTTTAGCACTGAGCCTGAACTTATTGGTTGAAGGCCATCTAGAGAAGTAATATGGGAAGGGTGACTGTCAAAGGGAAGTGCAGTCTGATGGGATGATGATGAGCAAATAATTCTAATTATTCAATTAACTGACTTTTAAAAATACTGTAGAATTTCATCAGGAAAAAAGGGGCAAATAAAGTCAGCACAGGAATCAGCCAACTAAGTGAACATCAGGCTTTTATTTTCAGGTTTCATTTTCCTGGGAGAACTTATCATTGAAGACAGTAACCTTCTTTTTGCCCACAGCCAAAGAATAATTTTTTGTTTGTGTTTATGTCTGGATCTTCCTGTTGGCTGTGAGCCTTCCTTTGATAGAATAGGTAGGGACAAGTTAGAATTACATGGTGCAGAACACCTGCTTGTTTTAAGATGCTAAACTGCTGCTTAATAGAAAACTTGATGTCTTACTCATGTAGTTCTCAAAATGAATCTACTATTTTTTTGACTGCTGGCTATGTGTGATGACTTCTGTAATAAGGAGGAATGGCTAAAAATCAATGGAAAGCTGTTTTAAAACTTTCACGCATGAATTGGTATGTGTGCTTGGCATACATTCTCAAACAGAGTCAGAGGAAATTAATGGAAAGGGAAGGATGTTGGCAAGGAGGAGGTGCATTAAAGAAGCTTGGATTAGATGATGTTAGGTAAAGTGTTTTTAAGCAGCATGGGGAGTCACTAGTATTTTTTATTTATTTGTTTGTTTTAAAGGAGTGTTTTTTTTCTGTCTGTACTTAAACAAATCCTGGGAAAACAGAGTAGTGCCAGGCATGTTTAGACTTTTGGGATCTTGAAGAAGCTGGCAGCAAATCATGTGTGTTTTATCAGTCAACTTGTTCCAGAACTCTGGGGTCCACATAGGAAAGCAGATTTGCTTTTTGTATTTCTGGCAGACAGAGATGAATTGCATCCTTTACATGGCCAAAGGGGGAAGAGACAGTCTCTTTAAGGGGACAATTTATTTGGTTGTCTTTCTTTGACTGGAGCATTGCTTTTAGGAGGAGGAGGAGGAAGCTATGTTAGCTGGCATAGACTTCTTGGAAAAACATTACCTCAAATGATGTGGAGCCTGCCAAGTTGTTGGGAGAGGGATGAGACTGAGATACACAGTGTCATATTGCTGTTCCATGCCTTGGAAACTTGAAAGTATTAAAGTGTCTAGCAAGTGCTATTAGACAACAGCTTTTGGAGGTCTGTGTAATGTAAACCCCTCCATTTTAGCAATGTTGAAGTGAAAGTTCCTCTTGCCTCAGAGGAACTACTACTAACGATATTAACATTAATATTTGCACTTCTTAAAGGGAGTGTACTTCCTTCCTTCCCTTGCAACATTGCTGCCTAAGTTTATAGTTGGGTTTTCATATTTTATGATCTCGTATACTCTGCTCAGCTTTCTTTCAGTGTTTGAAATGTACCTATGTTAGCGCAAAAGCCAAAAAGTATTTGGCAAATTACGAACTGCATTTTGAGTGGTCTATACATGCTCATGCAAATACATGTAGAAAGGGAAGTTTTAGTTCATGTGAATATTTGTATAAACATTTTGCTCCCATAGTTAAACCTTGTAAATGGAAAAAACTGAAACCAGCTATCTTCGAATTTCATCTGTGGGTTTGGTGAGGAAACGTACATTTTAACAAAGAATGAAGTGAGGGGGAAATAGAAGAGAGAAAAGATAAAAGAAAACAGTGAAGAGGGAGGAGAAAGAGATAAACAGAACCAGTTTACCTGGTGAAAGAGTTTAGGCCTCCCAGCAGCCTTATTGGCATTTCATAAGGATTAGATTATGTTTTAAATATTGCATGATGAAAGGTGCTTCAGCAAGAAGCTTTTGGAAATGAAGTAATATTGGTATAGTACTTCATCTGTTTTCTGTAGAAATGAAATAGCTTCTGGTTCACTTGCACAGCAGCTCCCTGCACTAGTGGGGATAGACATCAGAAGTTTCTTGGTAGGGATGGTTTTGTACTTGTTAGGAGTGGGAGAAAACTAACTGCAAGTCTCCAAAGGGTGCTGGTAGCATTGCTTCCTTTAGGGATTTATCTGGTGTATTATAGGTAGAGGAAAATCTTTGCAAAGCCAGGTATGTTTTATAAGAGTAAGAGAGATTGTGGCTGCCTTGGTCATCTGAGGTTGATCTTCTGTCCCCCCAGGTAATTTCCTATCTAGATGTGCCCCTAGATACCACGGTGAACTGGCAATTCAGCAACTGTTGCTGCACTCCAACATTGCTAGTTAAAATACAGTACAGTATTTGCTAAAATTATTAAAAACAGGTGCAGAAAGCAAAAGTGTGTTTGAGTAGAGAAATGTATTTGTGTAGATATCTAGCTTCCTAGTTGTTACTATCTTTCTTAAGGCAAGGAGATTTCAGTTGTTGAGAAAAATCTTAGGAAAAAAAATCCTTTCTGGGTCCTTTTATTATGGGCCTTATATCAAATTGTGGACAGGCTGAGAAGTCTTTCAGGGAAGTGGAAATGCCTCAGGAATAGATCAAAAGGAAATCCCATTCTGTTGCTCCTCTCTCTCATCTACCAGAAGTTGGAGGAGGGCAGTCTGGTCACCACGCTGCCTCCCCAGCATGTGTGTGTGCTCACTGGCTCTCCAAAAAAAGCATAGCTGA